TAAGGGCATTATATAATGACGAAGTGGTCAGTACAAGAAAAGGATGTAACAATCACAAATATATTTGCACCCAATATTGTAGCACCTAAATATATAAATCAAACATTAATAGATTTAAAAGAAAAGATAGCTACATATACAATAATAGGGGATTTCAACATCTCACTTTCAGAAGATGGGAAAACTTGCAGGTTTAAAATCAATGAAGAATGTTACATTTTAATTCCACTTAAGATCAAAGAGACCAATGGACATGTAGAGGAGATCTGATTCAACAACGTCAGAATTCACATGTTTCTCAACCGCATATGGAACATTCTCCAGGATAACTTATATTCTGGGATGCAAAACAAGTCTTAACGAAGTTTTTAAAAATTGAAATTATACCAAATATTTTTTTCTAATTGTAATGGGATAAAACTAGAAATTAGTCACAAGAGAAACATTGGAAACTGCACGAATACATGAAAATTAAAAGCAACATGCTCCATATTCAAAAATCAGTAGTATTTCTATATGCCAGTAGTAACATATCTGATAAAGAATTTTTAAAAATCCCACTTATAATAGCTATAAAAAATAAAATAACTATTAGTAAGTTTTTGTAAAAAGATTAAAGATCTTCACAATGAAAACTATAAAACACTGATGGAAGAAACTGAAGAAGACAGAGTAAATGGGAAAATATGAAATGTTTATGAATTGGAATAATTATTATTGTTAATATGTTCATATTTCTTAAAGACACATAGAGAGTCGATGCAATTTCTGTCAAAATTCTGATACCAATCTTTACAGAAAAAGAAAAAAAGCCAATCCTGAAATGTATTTGGAACAAGAAAACACCTCAAATATCTAAAGCAATCTTGAGCAAAAAAAGAGCAATATGTACCATAAAGCTATAGTAACTGAAACAGCATGATATTGGCATTAAAACAGACATATAGAGCAATTAAGCAACATAGAGGGTCCAGAAACAGAACCATGCATTTACAGCTGGTCTTTCTTTCCCTCCCTCCCTCCCTTCCTTCCTTCCCTCTCTCTCTTTCTTTTTTCCTTCCTTCCTTCCTTCTTTCTCTCTCTCTCTTTCTTTCTTTCTTTCTCTCTTTCTTTTCTTTCCTCTCTCCTTCCTTCCTTCCTTCCCTCCTTCCTTCTTTTCTCTTTCTT